GAAGAGATACTTTAAAACTAAAGGAACATGTGCAGGCTGGTTGAAAAAGCTTCTCTCTCTCTCTCTCTCTCTCTCTCTCTCTCTCTCTCTCTCTCCCCCTCTCTTTAAGTTGCTGATAGATTCCTTGTAACAGAGATGAAAGTGACTTCACGAAACTAAGTGTGAACATTTACAGAGACATAGTGATTTATAAATTCTTGCAGACCTTAACAATTCTTACTGAATTCTTAAAGAAATTTCTCAGGATCATAATTGAGTTTCAGAATTATTAGCACTAAGAAAAACCCAAAGTAATATATACAATCATACATATTAACCAATTTTAACAATAAAAAATGAGAATTTGAGTATTTGATATTCAAACTGGGGTTAAAATAGTGAACATCACTAAGGAAAAGATAAATAATCTGAGAAGCTTAGAGTAAACAATTGACTATAAAGTGGATTATTTTAAATCTCAATTTCACAGTGTAGCTTGTTCATTTAATAAATGTATTAAGCCCTACTTCTACTTCCCTCCATCTTTCTGAGGCATGAACGAAACAAAAGCAAATGACTCCTTGCTCTTAAGATACTCAGGCAATAATGACATACATGTTGTATAATATAATGTAATTAATGAAATAAAGAATAGCACATTTATGTTAAAAAAACAAGATAGTGGGAAAGACCATAGAACTAGTAGAAAATATAATTATTTTATAGTAAAATGAAAGTTAATCTTCTGGAGCACCCATATGCCATAAACCATGATAGCTACCTCTGTACCAGGAAAGAGGAACTGATAACATCACAGAATGTATGTCCACATCTAGAACAGGATCTAACCTTCACTCTTCACTTCCCTTTTTCCTCATTTATGAAACATGAAATGATTCAGAATCCTATATATATTTTCCTTTCTATATTTGTTTTACATTTTTACTTAATTAAAAACTCAAAAATAAACTCTGAGCTGGAGATATAACTCAAGGAATAAACTGTTTTCTGAGTCTGCATTTGATCCTGAGTTCAATCCCAAGAACCCACATTAAAAAAAAAAAATGAGTTTGGGGTATGTGCTTGCAACCCCAGCACTGAACAGGCAAATACAGGTGACCTCTGGATCTCACTAACCAGGCAGCCCAACTGAATTGGTGAGCCCTGGATCCCAGTGAGGGATCCTGTCTCCAAAACATCAATATGGATGTCTCTTAAGGAATAGCAGCAAGGCCTCAGCATGTATGTACATACATATCCATGTATACTCACACATACACAGGAGCACATATATACACACACAAGCTAAATTGGTTCTATTGTTAAACAATTAGTTTGCATAATCTTCTAAAAAAACATTTCTTAATTCTGGTGGTTCACTTCAGTGAAAAAGCAGCTTTCTTGAAGAACAAAGTTCATTTTTGTGAAATATTGTTCAACAAAATCTGGATGATTGCATGAAAAAATATTGAGGAAATTATCTAGCTGACAACCATGAAACAAAAATAAATCATCAATGAAATCAAATCAGTCAGAATTGTGATTAAGTGGTACAAAGCTTGTGGGAATAATCAACCAATATCTGACTGAGATGGTACCCATTCCCAGCACTGCTTGGATGGCCAAGAAACTGAGACTAGATAATCCAGGGATCTGGGAGAGAACCAAATACTACTATTTTGCTAAGAGATCGTGACAATTACATGGCTCCTAATGACATTCTGCTACACTCATAGATCAATGCCTTCCTCAGCCATCATCAGAGAAGCTTCCTCCAGCAGCAGATGGGAACAAAAGTAGAGACCCACACCTATGCAATGTGCAAGGAGCAAGAGACCTCAGAACACTCAGCCCTAAAAGAAATGTCTCCATCAAATTTTTACCTGCAGAGCTCAGAAAATTCTGTGGAAGAGGAAGCAGAAAAAGTGTAAGAGCCAGGGTCCATGGAGGATACCAAGGAATCAAGGCCTTCTGCACACAACAGCAAGCACAGGGCCTGCAAGGGTCTGTACCAGATAAGGTTCTAAATCTGAAAAAAGTAGGCACAAGTCCCTATTCCTAACACAGAAGCTGATTGATAGAAGCCACTAGCAAATGAAAATTTAGTTTTCTTCTAGGGAGTCCTCTAGGGAAACAAAACACTCTTAAGGGTAAGCCCCATGCCCAACAGTAGACGGCCAACACAAAAGGAGCACAACAGCATCTTTAGAGGTTCTTTTTCTCATAATGTTAACTTGGGCATTCTTTAAACCCTATATGGTTTCTCTCTACCTCTCTCTCTCTCTCTCTCTCTCTCTCTCTCTCTCTCTCTCTCTCTCTCTCTCTCTCT